GCCGTCGTAGTCCATTTTTTTTTCAAAAATCGGAAGGGTTGTTGACTCGGAGTGCGCGCGATACCATGAGGCGTTTTCATAGAGGCAGCCCGAAGGCGTTGTTTGGTTATCACCGCGCAATAGCACTAAGACTAACCGGTCTTATGTAATAGTTTCTACAAAATAACTCTTTGGTAGTGATTTGCCTGTTTTCAAAAGTTTGGCCAAAGACCAGAAGCGCATGAAAGCGTCTTGTTACCGACTTTGAGTCTAGAATGATTTGAGACTAGACACGTAAATGTGAGGCGCGCTCAACGGCCTGAGAATAAAATGAATGAATTTCCAGGGTAACAGACGAAGCAAAAATGCGTGCAGGGAACACACAATACTTCCCAAGCGTACATTGTGCCACACGTCTCAGTTTTTTGGGGATTTTCGATGTCGGGGGACATTCGCTCACTTGGGAGATTTTTGGAGTGTCTTTTATGGAGGGTTTGCGGACGCTATAGAAAAGAGATCAACTCAGTGAAAGCAGTTATTAAGATAACTGAAACATATCCAGGGTCTGTTGAACTGGCTTCATAGTACAGGGCACAGGTGGCTGCATAGCAGCGCTTATGTCAAAGACACAAACATTATACATTATATTTTTTATTTTACCAGGATGCAGTGACACAAATATTTGGGAAGGCTTAGCCTTCCCTAGCCTACAGTACCCACCGCCCCTGGGTAGTACATCTCTATATACATTGATACAACACTACGTGTTGATAGAAATCAACAAATAAGACCCCACGGTTTGATGATTGATAGGTGTGTGGGCTGTCTTTCATTTTGACACTCAGAACAATTGGGGCTATCCACCCTTATCCACAATGTAAAGTAATTCACACAGCCTCTTCCCTCTTCTCTCTGTGAGGAGCAGCAGGTTCAGCTTTCAGAACAAAGTAACAAAAAACTAAAATGGCATTCATTTTTTTTTAAATGTCGTGTAGTAATGTAGTAATTATTTTTCTTCTCAAGAGAGTACCAGAATGTGTATTTGATGTTAGTATTTCAAAAAATCTCCTGGGGGAAAATCCCCCCAGACCCCCCGGCAGGGGTACAGTTTTCAGCATGTCAACTCTTTCACTCGCCCTTTTTATTTACCACAAGACAAATGTGCCGTTTTATTTCATACAGTTCCATTTTGATTGAGACAGGGAAATAATCTAAACCTCACGTGTGGCGTTTCACTGTTAAGGGGGGCGATATAGCGTGTATGTAATTACATTGCAAATACTGACTTGAGCCCCACCACTGTATGGGTTAGCCCTACCATAGATTACCCAACAAAAAACTCTGGCGACGCCACTTATATGCTAAAAGCAAGATACACATAAAACATACATCCTGCTTACNTCTCTGTGAGGAGCAGCAGGTTCAGCTTTCAGAACAAAGTAACAAAAAACTAAAATGGCATTCATTTTTTAAAATATGTCGTGTAGTAATAGATTTATTTATTTTACTTCTTAAGAGAGTACCAGAATGTGTATTTTATGTTAGTATTTCAAAAATCTCCTGGGGGAGAATCCTCCGAGACCCCCCTCCAGGGGTTGGGTTTTCAGCATGTCAACTCTTTCACCTGTGGGGAAATTGCAGGATTGGCTCCAGGTCGCCCTTTTTATTTACTACAGTTCAATTTGGATTGAGACAGGGAAATAATCTAAACCTTTCCGTTTCACTGTCAAGGGGGGCGATATAGCGTGTATTTAATTACATTGCAAATACTGACTTGAGCCCCACCACTGTATGGGTTAGCCCTACCATAGATTACCCAACAAAAAACCTCTGGTGACGCCACTGCTTAGGCTGTAGGAGAAATCAAATTCATCTGGCTCTTCCCTCGTTGATTTAACATTACTAAGCTCATTTCTAGCTGTTCAGTTTTGTAGCTATAAATACCCAAATAAATCTTGGTAATGGAAAACTTAATGTGAAACAGAGACTTGGAAGCTTGCTCGAGGAAATTTATCAAGCACATTTTATGAGTTAGTGGAACAGTTTCAAAAACCCTCCCTTCTGGTGCATTTATAGACACTTTGACATTTGAGAGTTTTGAGATATGGCCAAAGTTTGATGGACCTTTTCATGTCGTCTCATTGTTTTGCCTGGGGTTTGATTTCATCTGGAATTTACATTTCTATGCAGTTGACTTTCAAATATCAGATGCCAAAGGGTCCTTAAAAGCACTAACTTTTTTTAAATGGATCCATTACAACCACAATGATCATCTTAAAGTTGGTGAATGTGATGGACATGCTCCAACAAGTACAGTATATCCGTGTGTTTGACAGCAATAATGACTGCCTTTCTCCTTGCTTGTGTGTTTCCACAGGCGGTTAATCGGGCGGGGAAGGATGTTCAGGTGATACATGATGGCGTGCAGAGGATAGACTGGCATAACTATGAAGCAATCAAAACAGATTTATCTCGATCTGGTAAGTCCCAAACCTCCTCCTAGTCGCTCCCCAAAGATGATCCCTCATAGATAGAAGAGGAACGCATGACACTGTGAGGCAGGAATCCCATATTTTGAAGAAAGATCCACACATGCATACGCTTATATCTAGGTGAATTGTTCTTCTCAAACACACCATGCAATTCCATCTCTGAGTCTTATTGCTCTCCAGCTCTGCAGCAGCCGTGTGAATCTGCTTTGAATGCATTTCTGCTGTCATAAATATAGTTTATATCTGCTACAATCATCACCAACTCAGTTTTATATGCTGTTCAGGGAAATCAACCTCTATACGAAAAGTGTAAATTAGTTGGAATGGGTTCTTCCTTCCTGAAATGAGTTGTTATAGGCCTAAGGTTATCTTCCACACTTGTTTTAGGAGGAAATGTATGTTTTCTGCTTAATAAAACGTGTATTTATTTTAATGATAAAGTTATTTTTTATTTTGAATGGATATTTACTGCTTCCTGATTATTTTTAAATAAAATATGTGTTTCCCCCGTGTAAAAATAGGCTTGAGAATAATTTTTATTTTGGTCTGATCTCTGTTGACTGTAAAGATCAGGGTTTTTCTTTGATAAAACTCCAAACCTTGAGGCGCAATACTTTAAACACTAGAAAACTACTTTCAACACTGTGCCAGACATTATTTTTGATGTTTGAATATTGCATTATCTTATCAAAACGAAAATAGGTTCGTTTTTTTACGCCTTTTTGCCTATGAACCCATAAAGGTTGATAACATTTAGAAAGGTATGCAGACTTTTGATACAATATGACCGTACCTCAGTGTGGTGTATTTAATAAATGGAGGTGTTCTGTAATCTGTTTGATCAGGTAATGGTGAACAGGGGAAAGCGTTCCCTCTCACGGACGCTGACAGGGTCGACCAGGCCTACAGGGAGAACGGCTTCAACATTTATGTCAGCGACCGGATCTCCCTCAACCGCTCCGTCCCTGACATCCGCAATCCAAAGTGAGTCCCGTATGAGTGTGTCGGTGTGTGTTTGTCTAGGGAGGAATAAGGAATATGGGAGGCATGTGGCGCAGTGGACTAGTGTGTTGGTGTTAGGATCAGGGGAGCAGGTTCAAACCCCTCTGCAGTCAGCATGTCGTTGTGTCCCTGGGCACTTCACCCCAAATTGCTCCTGTGGGGATTGTCCACAGTATTGAGTATGTAAGTCGCTTTGGATAAAAGCATCTAACAAGTGACATGTAATGTAATGTAATGTAATAAAGTTTAACAATATCCAGCGATAAGGTGTTAAGATAAACACTAAGGTGGGGCCTGTTTGATTATCAGGAGTGTATCAAGTACAGAGCTTTGACACCTCAAAAAAAGGTTCATAATTGTTTTTATTTTCATAATTTCAGCACAACTTTTACTAAACTGGTCTGATTTTAAAATAAAGTCAAAATATAAAGTGATTTAATAAATTAAGTGACTTCAATGGTGTTCGATGGCAACATTTATTATTCATTTGACTAATTTATTATGTATTGTTTATTAAAAAAAACGAAAGTGTATTACAGTTGGCAGTATCAATCAAATGCCATAATGCAACAACAGTGATTAATGAACTCTAGAATTCTTCTTTTTTTTTTTACTTGATTTTGAATTTTCTATGACGAAAGGTGATTTTTATTTTTGACTCAATAAATTACTAAATAAAGGGCTGTTCCATATGAGCCATGTTGGTGTTGTGATGCCATTTCAAAGTGCCACATCAGTCATTTGTATAGACTGTGGAATGGTGACCAGATGAAAAGCACTTCCTTTAAGAATGTTCCCGTGAAGCGCCAAGTAACCTCGGGCTAAACTGCCTTTTTTTTAAAGAAGAAATAAATCTCCTGTGTTTGTATGAGCAGTTTCATCTGAATGGGGGCAGGAACGGGCCACAGAGGGCTGAGCGTGTGCAGCTTTTCATTCCAGCCAACCACTGCAGCAGGTTATTTCACAGATTGGCACTCCATCAACCGGAAAGGAAAAATGAATCACCTGGTGGAGCTTTTGGTTGGATTGAAAACCTGCTGACTCCCTGTCCTTCCTGACAGATGGTTGTTGTTCTCAAAAAAGAAGGTTGACTATTAGATGAGAGGCCAGATTTAGAGCATGACTGTGATGTCTGTTTTTGAGGGAAGAAGAAAGAAAGACAGCAATTAGCTGATACAATTCTGAGCTTCCTGATGATTTAAGAGAAAGCTGTGGATCTTTAAATTTGGATTGTAGGAGAGAAATGTGGATCTGACTGCCTGAGTGCATGTGTTATTATGTTACAGTGTGACAAAGCAAAATGTCAGGCGAAATGACTTGTTTTGGTTTGAGAATTGTCTTGAAAGGATTTTGACCTGCTCGAGTCCATAGTCAATACTTTATAACCTTAGGATAGACACAAATGTGACTTGCCATCCAGGCATTAAATCACACAATATTACAAATGCGAAATAAATACTGAATGAATAACTAAAACACACATGTTTTGCTATCAGTAAATGCTGTGGACCCCCCCCCGATGAAGGTGCCCACATTAGGTCACTTCTGCCTGAACAACAAAGCCTTCTTATAGCACCGTTAATTTTCCTTTTGGATCCGTCCCAACTCATTACAACAGGCAATAATAGGAACAATTGTCCAGTGTATTCACAGGAGACATGTATAGCTTTACACTGACAGCAGCTGATAACACACAACACAACACCTACTGTATGCACTTATAAACCATGCTCCTGACAGCAATTAACATCGTCATTGATGTCCCCCTCTGCTGCAAGGTGTGAAGAACAGATAGACTTCTGCTCTGTTGCTCTTCAGAAGCTTTTATTCTGACTGCAGGGGGGCTGGGGTTATATTTGGAGTGTGATTTCCTGAGGAAGAAGAGGAGCTAGGAGAAGATCGGAAATTGGAAAGTGTATTGTTTTGTTTATTGTATGTATTTGTTGGCCTCTGCCCATGGACATTTTAAATCTTACCAGTATTTGTCGAGATATTCCAAGAAGAGAAGTGTTGATAATTTTGGTGATCTGCTGACGCTGATTTTGGTGATCCACTTGTCTAGCACTTTAGAACCATAAGTATGCACTTTATTTATAAAGTCTCTTTCATACAACAAGTCCAGCTTTGGAGGAAGGAAATAGACATAAAATGAACATAAACACAGGAAATAAATGATATAGTACACATACATTTAATACAATTAGATGAAATGGAACACATAATGTAAGATGGAAAATAAAACTCACTAAACAATAATATTTTTTTATCAAAACATAACATAGAAAGAACAAACATAAATTGCTAAACTTCAGCATGTCAACACCTAAGAGGCCTAAAAAGCGCTAAGCAGTCACAACTGCTATTTTATTTGTTGTCCTGGGGCATGGATGAGGCATTCATTAAGGATGAGACATTCATTAAGTTCAACATTTACCAGAATAAAGTGTGTTGAATAACACTTTTTAGAGACATGATGAGCCATATGAACCTGTTAATACTGTACAGCCTGCTGCGTTTCTCTCAGCTCTTCTCTGACTCATTAAAGAAGAAAATACTGGAAATAAACACAACAGCAACACTATAAATATCAACAGAATCAGACCCTGCTGACCTGATGCGTGACAGGAATCCGGAGGCTTCTTTCGCTCCTGCATTCACTGTAAGACAACACTTATGAAGAGTTTTCCATCATAAAGTCATCCTAACACCCTTTATCAACGCTGCAAAACAATCTGCACCCAATTCTTTCAAATTATTTAAAACATTTGTTCATGTTCAAAGCTGTAAAGGGAGCAGAGCTTTTGGTGAGCTGCGAGGTGGAGCAATGCAGCTGTGGCATAAAATGTGAGACTTTATGATTTCCAAGCCTTCTGGACAGCAGCGTTATTTGTACATTTATCATTCCCTTCCTCTTAGCCCACAGAGCACTAATGTTAACAGAGGATCCAGAAGAGCCCAGGCATGAGAAATACCAGCTCATAAAGACTGAAATTACCCCTAGGCTGTTTACGATAATGGTAATTTTACAGTTTGAGCTACAGTATATATAACTTTTCAAGGAAATATAGATCCATTTACGCTTGATTCTGATCACTAACACTGTTATTTTGTGGTGTATTGTTTGGGGTTCCAACAACAAAGCAGTTTGAATGTAATTAAATGAAACACATCATTGACAATACCAATTATGAATGACTTGAAACAAGCCACATTTGAATCCTTTAAAAGGAACAGCTGTCAGTGCAACAACTGTAAGCCTTCAATAGATACATCATAATCTGTGCTTTGTGATTGTGTCGTTGTGTAACTCTGTTGAAAGTGTGTTACGCAACCATGGTTATCATCTCTAATGTTAGGGCTTAATAAGCACACTCTTGGGTTTATGGGATCATTTGCGGCTTATTTTTTTGGCAACATCTTTAATTAAAAGCAAGCTCTTGGCTCAATCATGCACGGACTAATGAAACAGGGTCAATGTCTGACCTGACAGGCGGAAGGCTGTTGTGTCGAAGCCTGAAATCCCTCTAAACAAAAGCACAGAAATTGCATATCTGGGACACTCTGAACCTCAGAGGTCCTTTACGCTTTCCACAGGAAATACAAAGACTTTGGGCAGAGCACAGGGTGGTGGGGGGGGATCAGGTGTGTCTCTCTGTTTGGTCGAAGTGACAGCAGAGTGACGTCTGTCTGACAACATGGTGCCACAACAGTGCTCAGTAGGCCAGTACCTCCCAGCAGCATTCATTCATTCATTGCACTCTCACTCACTGTCTGAAGGGTGTGATAGAGAGACAGACAGAAGGATAAAGAGGAAGAAAGACAGAGGTGGAGCCAGACAGGCCTGAGAGACTCGGAGATAATTACTGTCTCTACAGATTCTTCCTTAACTACTCAGAGAGAGAGAGAAAGACAACAGAATGGGAGGGAAGGTCAAACCAGCAGGTGGAACACTTCATTACGTCTTATTAAAGGGTTGATCAGGTTGGGCTGAGAGCACGGAACAAAAAGGCCGGTGTTCCTGCTTCCACAAGATTTCCCACCCTGCTCTCGATTAGCATTTTAACATCTAAATGAAACAAACTGAATATCTCCATGAATCTATATGGCCAAACACTTACTTACATTAAGTCTGAGCATAACCAGCTTTTGTTTATTAGCTATTCATTGATTTCCTTCCTCCACCACATTAGTCAATGTTCATGTGTGTATAAACACTGTTGTGTGCATCGCTGAACTGAAATACCATGAATGGATTTGATCCAAAAGCAACACTGTTTAAACTGTGTACATAAAAAAATAAAGAAAATAATGTTGATATGTTATCAGTGTTCGTTCTAAAGACAAATTACAATTTTTGCAAATATGATAGACACTTAAGTTCTAAACAAGAGGACATACTTATCATGTTATGTTAGCATCATAGCTAAGGCTTGATGATAATCAGAAGTACAGTAAAACATGAAAGTTAAAAAGTTATTGTCTCATGTAAAAACTATCCTGGGATACATTAATAAATAAGAGTTGTTGTTGAAGATGAAAATGAAATGTGTGTTGCTAAGTGTTCTAAATCTTATAGGAACACGTGCAATAGGTTTTAATATTTCACTCTAGACCAAAATGTTGGACCCACTAGCATGTCTAAAAAAGTTATTATTTAAACAGGCATGACACACTTTGGTCTATGCACATCTCTAATTTTTTTCTCTGGCTTTGTGTTTTTGTGTAGCTGTATAAAGAAGCTGTATGCAGACAAGCTGCCCAACACCAGCGTCATCATCCCGTTCCATAACGAAGGCTGGTCGTCGCTGCTGAGGACCGTTCACAGCGTGCTCAACCGCTCTCCTCCACAGCTCATCGCAGAGATCATCCTGGTCGACGACTTCAGCGACAAAGGTACTGCGACTCTCAACACACACACACACACACACACACACACACACAAGGAGCACAGCTGCGTTCAGCCTAGCCTTGCTAGAAATAACTGAGTATTTGTCTTCCTCTGTCTCCTCTCTTCTTTATTTGTGCCCACACAGACGCAAACACGCACACACCCAAACCACTGAGTCATTCGTTTATAAGTGTTGGTGACTGTTGCACAAGTAACGAGCTGTTTCAAAACAAAAGCATTAGCCGGCTTCTGCAGAGGCCCAGATGTGATCTGAAGACTCTCCTGCTTTTGTACGTCTTGCTTAAGCACACACACACACACACACACACACACACACACACACACACACACACACACACACACACG